CCCTTTTTCGTTCCCCACCCAACAGAAAATAATTTAGGGATACGTTAGAGGTAATTATATTATTAATTAATAAGATTTGACTATTTGACTTTTAAATTAATATTTTAAATTACTTTTTAACATGACCATTATAATTTAAGCTAACCCGAACCAACACAATTCTTTTAACCACAATCAGTCCTCATGTTTATCTCATAACTCTCAGAATATTGTACGATTTCTCTAGGCTACTCGTTCTAGGGCTTCGTTTGTGAGGGCTTTGCGGTCGAAAGTGGAACATAAATCAAGTTTTTGGTAGTGAAATCTGAAAAATCAAGGTATGCTATTAATCAATGTTATAATTTTTTATTGTGGAGTTAGGGTTTGTTAGCCCTTTTCTGTTTAAAGAAATATTTTCTTTTTGGTGTTGCTGTAAGAGGAAATGATTTAAATCTTGGTTTTATACCTAAAGTTTAGTTTTTTTATGTCTTTATTGGTATATTTTATGGTCCCGATAGCAAGTTTCTTGTCTTTTAGTTGTTGTTGTGTAGTTATTGATGTGGTCCATCTTTTGTCCCTTTTTTCTGTTCCTTTGCATGTGAAAGCTATTGAAGATGATTGAGAAAGTTGACCTGATTTTTCACTATGGGGTAATTGGGTAATTCACCTGAACTTCTACGTATATAATTAGAATTTGTTGCATGTTTTGTTTGGTTATGAATCTGGTGATGTTCGATTTACTATTGTTTGTGATGAGTTTACAAAGAACTTAGGGTTTACAAAAATCAAACAACTTTTAGTAACTGGACCTTCTGGAAGATATTACTTGGTAACAAATAATGATGGTATGAGGATCTTGCAGAGTTTAGAGTTATAAATTTCTTTGCTGTAGATGATTTAGATTTGAGGATTTTTGCTCAAAATATCAAATACCACACTGAAACATACATTGTAAATGTCGATGTAGCTTCTAACCAAGAAAGTAACATAAGTGATTGTGAGTCTAATGATTCAATTTCATCTGATTATAATTCTGAAGTACTTGAGACTTTTGGGCCAAGAAAGAAGGAAGGATATGAGCTATAAATTGGAGAACTATAAGGAATTATAGAAGGGTCAAACATTTAAGGATATAACTGAGGTCAGAAATGTGATAAACTTCTATGTAATAGCTAATCGTAAAGGCTTGATGGTAAAAAAAGGTGATACTACTAGGGCCAGATATAAGTGCCAAGATGAATGCCACTTTATCTGTTTCATATCAAAAGATGGCAGGAGTGGCACCTTTAGAATCAAAACCTTAAATTCTAATCACACTTGTGGCTCTGTGTTTAAAACCCTAATGGCAGGTGCCAAAATATTAGCACATATATTTAAGAGTAGGGTTCAATATAATCCTCAATACAAGGTAAAAGATATGAGAGGGGAGTTGGAGACTAGTTATAACCTAAATGTGTCTAAGACCATGGTGAAAAGAGCTAAGAGGTTTGCTCTTGAGAAGCTTGAAGATAGTTTCTTTGATGACTACAAGAAACTTGAAGCATATGGCATTGAAATTAGAAATTCTAATCCGGGAAGTGATGTAGATATCAACATATCAAATGATGCTCTTGAACAAGGCAAAAGGAAGTTCTTGAGGATGTGCATTTTTTCAAAAGCAATAAAGGATGGCTGAAAAAGTGGTTTGAGACCACTAATTGGTTTAGATTGTACTTTTCAGAAGAGAAGATATAAAAGCAGTTGTTAGTAGCTATAGGGAAAGACTCTATGAATTTTTCCCCATAGCATGGGAAATGGTAGACAAAGAAACAAGCAGAACTTGGAGTTGGTTTTTGGAGCTTTTGAAGCATTCCTTGGATCTTAAAGATGGAGATGGAGGGACATTCATTTCTGACATGGAAAAAGTAAGTAATTTTAATTTTTTTTACTTTCAGTTGTTTTTCTGTCAATTTCAATTTTTTCATAACTGTTGCTTTATGAATTTACAGGGATTAATTGATGCCAAGAACGATGTGGTTCCTGAAGCTAGGAACAGATTTTGTGCAAGACATATTGAAGTAAATTGGTATAAAAAATGGAAGAGTAGACAGGTAAACAAGCTTATATTGTGGTGTGCATGGGCCACAATCCACATATGAAGAAGACTTCAAGGATAAATTGAGAAAATTGGGTGATAATAATGAAGAAGCTGCTAAAGACTTGCTGAAATATTCACCTCAAACTTGGTGTAAAGCTTATTTTGACACTTAGTAAATGTCATGGTTGACAATAATTTCACCGAATCATTTAATGCATGAATTTTGGAGGCAAGATGGAGGAGATAAGGTTGAAGGTTATGAAGATGTTGGTTGATAATGAAGCCAAAGCTAGGAGTTGGAATGGACAATTCAATCCAACTTGAATAAAGCTATACAATTCTTACAGAGAAATAGCTCATGGTTGCCATATACACTTCAATGGTGAATTTGGCTATGAAATCAGTGAGGGAGATGATAGACACACATTTAATCTTAAGACAAAAGATGCACCTGTAGGTTTTGGGACTTATCTAGGATCCCATGCCCCCATGCTATCAAGGCTTTGCAGTATGATAAGGTATATTGTCTTGAGTTGAAACCTTTTTTGTTACTGATGCAATTGTTTAATTTTTAATGTATTTTATTTTGCTTTTCTTGTATCTAAGGTTGATCCAGTAACACAAATACAAGGATACCATAGTAAAGAGGCATGCCTGATGACCTACAAGAGCAAAATACAGTCTGTTAGGGAGGTTAAATTCTGGAAGATCAATCCTGCACAAGCTATGGAGCCACCAGAAGTTATGAAAACTATAGGCATACCCAAAGTTAAGAGGAATTGAGTACCAGATGAAGCAGGAAAAAAGAAGGGTGAATGGAGTGTTTATAGGAAGGGAGCTATCATGCACTACAGAAAATATGGTGAAGCTGACCATAATGCAAGGGCTTGTTATAATGTAAGCATTTATTTTCTAATCATTCCTTTTTTATTTTGAGACTCAACTAAATTATTGTCTGTTTTCTTTTGATGATAGGACACTACTCATAGAGAAGGTTCAAGCTCGAGGTAAAGGAAAAGTTATGGACAAACATTAACTTCAACTGTACTAGTTTCAGGTGGCACACATGAAAAAGAAGAAGAAGAAGCAGAATTTCAAACTGAAGTTGGGACACAATCGTCAGTTTATCCAGCTGAATCTGGAACACAACAATTAGTTTATTCAACTCAAGCTGTAACACAACAATCGCAGCCTTATGGTCCTGAAGTTGGTACTGACGAAGACCCACCACTTAGGCCAAAGATTATTTCTGAGACAATGGCAAGACTGAAAGAGAAAATGACAAAGGCAAAGCCACCAACTAGGTCAATAAGAATTGCATTTACTGAAGATACTAATGGGGTGGCAATATCATCGGACTTGCTTTATTCACCAACTAAGACTACTTGGAAAGGTAAGGCAGCAATGACACTCAAACAACTATAGGATGAAGGAAGAAAGAAGAACTTTAAGATGATAGACATAAATGGAAAAAGGAGTGCCAACTGATGAATAAATTAATGAGGAGGGATTTGAAGATTAGTTTATGCAATGGACATAAAGGGAGGCTATTGATTTTAATTTATTTCTGAGCTTGCCCCCCCTCCCCCCTCATGTGCTGTTATGAAGTTGAGACTACTATTGCTTAGCAATTGCTTCTGTAATCAGCTCACAACTTATGAAACAGTTGTTGATCTAAGATTCCAGATACCAAATAACACTACTCTATATCGCTGTTCAATGTCTATTGGTCTTTCTTGCTTGCATTTTCAGTTTTAATAACAGTAGTAACTGAATATTGTGATCATACAGAGCAATGTATCATGGCGGTTTTCAATTGTCATGTGTTCATATGTATTCTCATTACTTGTGAGACTTCCTATTACTTTGATAAGTTTTAGGCTTGTTGTTAACGTACTGCAGCACCAACTAGTGGGGATTGAGGTGCGTCGTCGGTTGCAAATTTGCATTTTAGTTCCAAATTTTGTTTGCAATGTTTTGAAGTATTTAATACATTGTCTTACTAGAGATTCTGGAGGAATCAATCACTGGAGTCCCTTTTCTTAACCTTAGCATTGATGCTATCTCTTATGTAAAGGCATTAGGCTCAAACATTAATATGAATCCACTGCCAAAATAGTTTTTCAGCAAGCTTTATTGCACTGCAATTATACATTAACTTGAAAATGCATCACAACAGTAGTAGTTAAGCCCATTTCTTATAAGCTCAAACAAAATTGCTAATGTCTTTTTCCATAAGAAAATATATTACACACTTTACATTTCATCAAACATCCTATTATAATCGATCGAACAACAACAATGCATTTAATACATTGGTTTCAATCTGAAAATCCCAACAAAGCAACCCAACAACATAAGAATGAGAATCCACTACCAAAATAGTTTTTCTTTCAACTTTGCAACTACTCTATCATGATCAATAGAAGATCCTTCAAAGGCAACAACTTTTCCCTTTAATACATTGATTTCAATATGAAGATCATCTGATTTTTTCTGCAGAAAATCTGTTTTCCTCACAAGAGCCTCCTTTTCCCTCTTCAATTTATTGATGACAACTAAAGCTCTTGATGAAAATTTATCGTCTTTCCATTCCCAATAACCACATGACCCCTTATTCTACAAGAAAAAAATTATAAACATTAGAAGAAATCATCCATATAAATATGTTCAAAATTAGACACAAAATTCACAAGATTTCACATGAAACAACGGCCAATTACATCAGGTTTTGGACACCTAAAAAAATGTCTTCCAGGATTCTCAGGAGTCTTGGACATGAGATGCAGAGCTACAATTCCACAGAGGCACATCCTCTTACATCCGTATGAAGAACTAGAAGATTGAGACATTTCATGAACAAGAGACATATAAATAAAGAAGATGACTTTAATCTTACTCCTAAGCTCTACATATTGCGAAATTTATTCGAATTAAAGGAAAAATAATACTCACTTGAGCAGAATTAGGAAATTTAGAAGAGGGGCTAGGGTTTTGAATAAGGAGGGAAAGAAATGTTAATAGAATAATAAGAAGAATAGGGTCGGTTCTCTTAAAAAAGCGACGAGTTGGAGAGAGGGGGAGGGGAGTTGGTACATTAATTAGTATAAAAAGTCCCTAAATTATTTTGTCGGGTGGGAAACGAAAAAGGGTCATTTTTGGCCCAAGGTATTAACAGGAGGGTAGGCCAGAGCCAAAGTTTTAATGGAGGGTAGTTGCCCTCAATTTCGCATAGTAGAATGCATTTTTGGCCCTTTTCCATAGTTTTAATATTATTAAGATGCTATACACTTAAGAATTTTTACAAAAAGGTCATTTCACCACCACTACTATCTACCATCACACTAGACTCACCATCAACCAACATCGTTAACCACTATTATCTGCTACCATCCTACTAGTTACTATCCACAATTACTACTATCATCCACTGCTAACCAATAGTGTCATGAGCACTCACAACTACCATTGTTAGCGGTTACCACAACCAATCATGATATAAATTTATTTTTCTAATATTTTATTGATATAGATACAAAACAAAAAGAATGTTTCATTTTCTCATAGATTCTTCTCCTCGTAGGATGGATTAGGACTATTGATAGAATGATAAACTACCAACAATAGGACCCTGAATTAGGAAAACACTAATATTTTAGAAAAAGAAATTAAAACAAGTAACATCACATAAGCGTTACCACTTGAAACTTTGATAATACTGAATTATGACAAGCCAACAAAATTAGTGAATAAACATATTCATGTGCTTGAAGCACGAAAAAACTCGTAAGGTTGCTTAAGAGTAAAAGAAAAAGTTTTAAGGCGGTGGGACTCCTAAGGTTTCCGTTGAAGTATAGAAAAATAAGCTTTATTCTAGAAAACTGAAAACCTTTTAACAGAAACAGTGTAAATTTCAAAATCACAATTATCTTTAAGTAATTTTAGATTAAAAATATTTTGAAGTTTAACGTCAAAGTTTAACTACATTCAAGTTTCAACCATGTCTTTGGGTTGTATATATTTAAAATATTGTCATAACGTTAGGTAGTGAATGAACGCTAACGTTGTGTCTTTTTTTTTGGTAATTGATATGTCAAAGGCTGAACTTTATTCTGAGAGTATTCCCGCCTGTCACGCGGGTGACCCGGGTTCGATCCCGGCAACGGCGAGTATCCTGTTTTTGGGCATTTTTTTTTGGGTTTTTTCAATATCTTTCACAGCTAGCATTAAATCACGGAAGACTTGACGAAAATGCTCCAACAGAAAATGCCGGTGAAACATTTGTCAGCTAATTGTATTCCTGGTTCATTGACCTCCTATTTCCTTATTATTATCAACATACATCATTTTATTTATATTCCGTTAATGTTTGATGAGTCTTCCCTCTTGTCAAAAGTTCAGAAAAGCTATGCGGACGCTTTGCTGGTAGGCCTGCTACTCTTTCTTGGCCCAATTTGTTTGGCTGACACTTTAGTAAATGGACCTGTGTTTTCAATTAAATGGAGCAAGGAATTATCTCAATTCACTGCCTCAATATCCAAACTAAAGAAAATCAAGACTTACCTACTACCTAGTCAGTCAAAAGTAAGACATCAGTGGTCGGGATCTGATTCTGGGACTAACTCCGAGGACAAAATGTGCGAGGGAGCTGTCCCAAAACTGGGCACCACAATCCACATCACAGCCCTAGACGGCATCATCAACGTCAACTCCCTTTTCACACTAGCAGTGTTCATCGGACTAGCTTGGAATCCCCACGATCTGAACAACAGCCTCGCCACCGACACCAACTGTTTTGCGAAGCCCAAGGTTGCCGAGGATCTTGTCGCCTTCCACGTCTACTCCTTCAGCTGTTTCCTCTTTTCTAGCCTCATTGCTTTGTGCCTTAAGCAGGCTATTCGTCTTGCTAAGTCTGCCCACCATTTCCCCACCATCTATTCTCTTGACTTGGCCCAAATCAACAAGAATGCGCTTCGGGTCGGGTACCTGGTTTCTGCTGCGGGTTCTGTTTGCGGGTCGGTGTTTTTGATGCTTGCTTTGATCAATGTGGTTCAGATCAAGCTTGGGATTTTGGGATGTGGGAGCAAGCATACCTATGGAGCTGTTATTCCACTTGTGATTTTTGTTCCCTTAGGGCTCCTTATTAATGTTTGTACTATTTTTTATGCTTTCACTCGTTAATTTGCCACCTTTTTTTTTGTATCAATAGATCCTTCCTTAATATGTATTTTGTCTCTATTCCTGAGATTACCTTTTCTTTTCATTACAAATCTTTTGGTATTTGGTTTACATGTCTCATAAACTAGAAGGATTTTAGAGCATTTGAATGGTTGATGGATTACTTTTCTAATACTAAGACAGAAGAAGAATTTTATTTGAAAGAAAGCAGAGCAATAAGTTGCAACACGCGGCCAAGTAAAACAAATAAAAGTTGCGATGATCATTCAAGGACAAATAAAGGAGGAACTAACCCTGAAAACTGGAATCTATTAAGTAAAATGCTTAAATATTGGCATATGCAAGTTAAACCGTCTCAGTGAGTTGAAATGTTAGCAGAAACCCACTGTGTAAAAAGGGGGGAAATGATCAAACTTGTTTAGGTTTATTCAGATAATAACATTGATTAGGAGTTGCTTTCGATCTGGACTTTTTCTCATAAATTAAACTGATTCTTAATGCAATGCGACTTGATCGGCCCCTTTATTACAATATTGCTGAGTATTGCAATGCTTCACACATATCTCCCTTTAATGGAAATGATGAAATATTTATCTAAGAGCTTACTGCTAATAGCTGAACTGTTCTATACCTGTCACTAGTATGACAATCCCAGAGTCTGCCTTGCTGAAGACCAGCTGCAGATGTGTATAATGTTACTGCAATTCACTTTGCACAATCTAATGATTCTCTTGTAGGCCACTTCTCTTAGTTGGTTGGTGAAAATGGAGTTAAAGGTGTCCGATTATTAATCATCTGCCAATATAATGTGAATACCTCCATGGCTTTTCAAAGTGCTGAAACTCTACTCATAACTTTGTTAGCATGCACTACTCTTGATTAGCTTATAATAGGAATATAAACCACTAACCTAACTTTTGTTGAAGCAATTGCTTCATTAAAAATTCAGTATTCTTTAGTGCTTTGTCCACTATGGTGTTCAGTGTATTTCACGTGTCAACACTAGCCAAGCTACAAGTCCAGTATTAATCCCCTGGAGCGGCAAGAACCTAATTGTGTATTGAGAGTGAAGAAATGACAGCTCTAATGAAATACTTGTGCGTTGTAGCATTTCTTGTGGTTTTGGTGATTGCTGGTTTCAATACAGCTAATGGAGCTGGTGAATGTGGGAGAAATTCACCGGATATGGAAGCTATGAAGCTGATACCTTGTGCAGAAGCAGCATCAGATTCAAATGCTTCTGTTTCCAGAAGCTGTTGCCAGCAGATACAGAAACTGGGACAGAATCCGAAATGTCTTTGTGCTGTTATGCTCTCCAATACTGCTAAGGATTCTGGAGCCAAACCTGAAGTTGCCATAACCATCCCCAAACGCTGCAACCTTGCCAATCGTCCCATGGGCTACAAATGTGGACGTAAGTTGTCATTCGCTTCTTAATTCTCTCTGCATCATTTTTAAATTAGGTTACGATAAATAATATAATCCGTTTTGAATAAACCACTAATTAATCCTCCTTAGGGACTCTTTTTAGTTCGTGTAAGGTCGAAGTGACCTGTTTCTGATATTACTATAATCGGTTGTTTGGTTTTGCAGCTTACACGTTGCCTTGAAGGCTGAAGATTTGGATGTGTTCACTGGATGTAATGATCTTATTATTGTGTTCCAGTTTTCCTGGTTTAACTTAAAATCAGATGCCATGTACAACTTCTAGTTAATAAATTAATAAAATAACAAGTATCTAGCATTCTGTCTTTTTCAATGAAGATGATGCACATATCCCTTTTTGTTAGCAACTCGCGACTGCAATTTTTTTTTTTTTTTTTTTTTTTTTTTTTTTTTTTTTTTTTGAAAAA